GGAAAAGCTCAGTGTGCTCTGATTGGCTAGCTATCCAGTGCATTGTGATTGGCCGAATTCCTCAAGCATGTGACGGAAATGTTACGTCCCTTACCATATTGTGATGCCTGCAGCAACCACATGTGGCGACCCCGGGCTGGACTCCGCTTCGTCCACGGTGAAAGCCGATCCGGCGATCCACAGCGTGAAGTTGTTGTATTTCCTCAGCGACCAGCTCTAGGCATGATGAAGCGGATATCGTCCTTTTTTGGAAGGCCAAACAAAGTAGTTTCGCTTTCACAATGAAACACACAGCGCCTTGACGACATGGCGGCGGCAGCAACAATACTACAGCGAGAATAAAAGTTACGCCTTCTTTCTTTGTGTCAACATTTGGGCGGCGTTATGCAAATCTTCCCACATCGTGACATAGACATGTGGGGGGCGTGTTAGAACGAGCCGTTTTAGGTAGGCGTGGTTGACTCTTAAGTTTATAAAGAATATCTCTTTGGATTTGAGACTTTAGTCTTTGCAACTTTACAGATCTTCTTTATGCACCAAGAGCTTGTAACACTCCAAAGAGAAAGGAAAAATTTAAATTGCATCATATGACCCCTTTAAATTTTATGCTTAACTCCTAAAATATTTAAACCACTAGAAATGGTTCTTTGCGAGTACATACTTTAACAATCTTTATCCAGTAATCACAAATATATTGAAATTCATTAGCATTGGAATCTTGTAACAGTTCATAATTCAAATGCCCCTAATAAAATTAACCAGTGAGTTTATTTCTAATCAAAATATAGTTCTTGGCCTATTTTGTAAATATACAATACACAGATCCCAAATTTACCATGATATTATGAATTGAAAAATTTCAGATATTTTTAATTATTTTAAAAAGGGTCTCTTATCCTCACTGTGGCTTTATTTATTTTATGAAAAATACAGTAAAAACAGTAATATTGTGAAATATTCTTACAATTTATAATAACAGTTGTCTATTGTAATATAATTTAGTAATATATTCTAGCAATGACAAAGCTGAATTTTCAGCAGCCATTGCTCCAGTCTTTGTGTCACGTGATCCTTTAGAAATCATTCTAATATGCTGAATTAATGGGGTTTAATGATATTTGACATGAGATTCAGTAAGCATTACTCTTGTTCCCTTTCTTTCTTCAGTTTGATCACTCTTTTGTGGAGGTGTACCGGGTCAAGCAGTTCCGATTCACCCCCAGATACCAGGAGTGTGATTCCGAAGTGGACCTGAGAGAGAGCGGAGCGACAGGCAAGCGATTCCTTAGTCAGATCTGCAGGGAGCACAGAGCCTGTGGCTGCATGCCTTCCCAGAGCAACTGGAACTGTGATGGAGAGATCCTTCCACACACTGCCATTCAAGTCCTGTAGGTGTCCCTGTCCAGATACGCCCTCTGTGTTTGCTATTTCGGTATTTTTGTATTTATGAGTTCATGTATTGGACTCAATGGAAGTTTGAGCTGCAGAAATGCTATATCTAGATACTTCACTTGAGTGATAACACACCCACTCTACTAAATTATGAAAAATTATGAATTTAAAAGATGCATGTAGTGAAAATTAGAACTTTTGCACTGTGTCATGTTTCAGAAAGGAAAGAGTATGCCATTATACACTAATTACTTCAAGCAAGTCATCATTGTCATTGTAATTAAGGGGTGTGGACATAAGTGCCACTCACACTCAGACTTCCTCATATATCTAGGAGATGTCACTGTCTCTTTTAGACCTTATATGAACACTTTTCATCTTCAGAAATGTTCCTCCGACACAAAATGAACAGGCTTCACTAAAGTGTTTGTCGATTAGTAGAAGCTGTAGTTGAAATGTTGAGGTCTTTTGAGCATCAGATCGTATCATCTCAGCACTAGCATACTAAACAGGGTAAATAAATGGACTTTTGTGGTCTGAGCCTGTGGAAAAGATGCTATTAAAATTAAAAAACTCCCTCAATTGTGCCTGCAGAGGAGTTGTTCTCCTCCCTGATACAGCATGACGGCTCACCCGAATGAATCATTTCCTTCACGCCCCATTGTTCTGTCAACAATGCGTAGCAATGAAATGCTCATAATTTAATGGCCCTCTCACTGTTAAAGGCTCACCTCCTTTAATTAAAATAGAAGTCCATTCATTTATTCCATTTTCAGCTTCAGTAATTGTTTCTCGAATGAGTAAGCAAATAACCTGTTGAGATAATTGATGATGATACCACGGCTGAAAAAGGCAATCGCCTGGCACTGAACTCACCTCCAGAGTATTGAGTGGAATTAGAGGAAATTAAAGAGCCCCGAACCTCCTAACAGCGCATGCATTTAACTACGAAACGTTTTATTCAACACGACGTTGCATTTATTGCTTACCAGCACTTGCTCGTACTTTGTTTTAGTCTAGGACACAACATATTAGTGGTTTTTGCTAAGGTAAGCATCTATGTTATTGATGCATATAGTTTGGGTTAGGGATTTGAACAAACCACTATACTTAAATATTACAGTTATATTGTTTAAATTTTAAACCAATTTAGAATACTTTTTAGCTGAGCCGGTACATTGGAAAAACATGCCTCTACCTGCATTTTTGGAACCTATACATTAGGGCTGGGTTTTGACACAAATTTCACGATTCTGATGTTTGCATCACATAACTAGCTCCATATGTTTGGGTTTTCTGACATTGTAAATAGGGCTGGGTTTTGACACAGATTTCACTATTCGATTCGATTCTCATTCACATGCTTGCGATTCGATTCGATTACCTATTCGATTCGATTCAATATCGATTATTTTGGATATATATCAGGTACACATGCCAAATTTTCTCAAGGAAAAAAAATTATCTTAACTGATGCTGTAAAATATACATGAGAGTCAGTTGGTACTACATTACTATAATACTGAAGGTTAAACATGACTGATTTTTTAGGCTATACAATTTAAATTACACTTAATGAAGTTTTTATAATAAAAGTTACAATGACAATATTTCTACTTCAATTCGTTTTTTTTTTTTTTTTTAATATAAACATTTAAATGGTGGCTGTCATAAAAAATGAAATCCGAGACTTTGTTTCATATTAAAAATAGCAAAGCACAATGCTTATTGCAATATATTGGATGGGAGGTGCCCTTCAATGTTCTGTCCATTAACTGAAAACAGGCTAGACTAATCGATTCTTGAGATTTAAGAATCGATATTGTTCCGTAAAAATCAGAATTGATTAAAATAGAGATATCGATATTTTTTACCCAGCCTTACTATACATACAATTCCCTGCAGTTTCCAGCTAAAATGAACACTAGTGGCAGTAAGACATCAACAGCCTTTATCCCTTTAACAAATTATGCTTACAACATTTTTTTTCCTGCAAATCCTTACACAATACTATGTAATACAACATATAGTAAACTTGCTCAGTAGCTCACCTGGTACAGCATTGCACTTGTGATGTGGAGTGCTCAGGTACGAGTTCCATGAAACACTAGTCACAGTAAAAGAGCTGAAAGACTTGTAGATGCAAGCCAAAATGGCATGGCTGCTTCAGCAAATGAGTTTTATCTCATGCTTGCTTTTGCTAAGACTATGGGTTTAGGGTAGAGTTGAGTGCAGGTGGTGCGCTATTTTCAAACACATTATCCATTTAATTTCGGAACTGCCACAATACATACAACAAGCAACTTAATAAAACATCACCAGATTCGTGTTCATCTGTTTCGGGGTAAAACTGAATGCGTTTTTTAGCACCTCTCACTAGACATTTCACTTTGAAAGTGTCGTAAAAAAGTAACGTAATATCATTTTGCAGAAAAGTCACCACTGGCATGTTTTTCCAGTAAGCATGGGTCGTTTTTTATCATGCAGTGAAGTGGTTGCATTTTGTTTGAATTTTTTTTTCTTTTTTTTCTTTTTCTTCTTTTTTTTCCTCTCTCTCTGTCTTAGGGTCCACAGCCAATTGATCAAGCTGTTTGCGAGAGGCATTGAAGAGCAGCCAGTGTTTGAGGACCCGTATGCTCAATGTGCAATATAGATGGTCCACTCCACTTAAGAAACCTCCAGCTGGATCATGAAGAATTGAGATTCTTTAAATGGAAGAGTCACCTTCAGCTCAGCAGCACAATATCATGCTGTTTTACCCAGATAATCGTCATGAAGATGCTTTGGAAACACACTGAGCTGGAGTCAACAGCATTTTCACAGCATTTAAATAGGCTTTATTAGATTTGTGTAAGATAGGATTAGCTGTTTCATCTAGGTATTAGTTTTGCCGTTTTTTTCATTTCAGTCCTTGAAGGCCTTGAAGTTGCTGGTGATATCTCTTGCTGTATGCGACGGCTTCCAGTTGTCAGCATTTGTCTTCCACCACGATCAAGCTGGTCTTGAGAGTAGCGTTAATTGAATCCCAAAGTCAAATTCCTGGAACTGTGAAAACTCTGGTATGTTTATGAATACATTCTTCTTGGTTGCACCTTCACTGTTTATTTTAGGTATAAAGCACATGAGGTGGTCAGCTGATAAAGTTATTGGTATACCAAAAACGTTTGTGGTTTATGTTGAACGCTTTGTTGGTCATTCAAAAATTAAAGTTCTGTTATCATTTACTAAAAAAAAGCTCCAAATTGATTTTAAGTTGTTAATCACTACCAGCAGTGTTACTGTTAAAGGGATAGTTCACCCCCCAAAAAATTTAAGTTTGTTATTATTTATTCACCCTCAAGTTTTGCCAAATTTGTTCGAGTTAGATTCTTCTGTTGAACATAGAAGATATTTTGAAGAATGTCGGTAACCAAGTCAATTCCTCAACTATTCCTTTAAAAAGTTAGCATGAAGTAATATGTCATATAGACAGTGAAGCCTACATTAAATCAAATTTACATATGATCAGAACATCCTGTGATCGCTTTAAAGGAGACATATACTGTTATTATCCAAATGGCACATCTGATCAGTATAAATCCGGTTCCCAAAAAAACACACCTCTTGACCAATTCTAATGTATCATTTACCTCTCTTACCACAGTTGGTTTTGTTTTCCAGACATTTCACGCATCAAAATGTAGCTTTAGCGAGCTAGATTACAAGCTTTGACAGCTACACAATGTCACTGCAGGGTCAGCATATGTACGGCTGTTCATCAGACGCAATGTAAATGTAAATACTGTTGCGCTCTTCTCTGCGTTGTCTTCCTTGGTTGCACCCCCCGAGAATATTTCCTCCCTTTATAATGAATTTTGTGTTTGTGCTTCCTATGCTGATGTCTTATTTCTTCTGAAAGATCTTATTGTTCCTGTGGTATCGAAGAATGAAGGAGTTTTTGATAGACAGAGAAATTGCTTTTTGCTGTTGTGCATGTCAGCTGCTTTAATATGCAATTTTTAAAGTGTTTTCTTCAGCTGTACTAGTGATTGAGGGCAAGGATTTCCCATGATGCATCTGTAGAGGCGACACAACTTCTGTAGCCATTACAGGGAATATTGTTCACGTCCTTCATAGACTGAAAGATTGTATGGAAGTAAATTTTTGCCACATAAGAAAACAAAAACTGCTTTTGGTAAATTATAATTATGACATAAGTCATAATTGATCAATTGGGTCATAATTGTCATTATTAAAAACTGAAATGAAAATAGAAATATTTTAAAAAATGCTAATAAAAACTGTCAATTAAAAATGTCTAAAAATAAAAACCGTCATAATAAATAAAAGTCATAATTATATAAAAATGTAATAATTGAAAACTGAAATAAAAATCAATTAAAGCTAAATAGAAATACTAAAAAAATACTGATTAAAAATGACAAAATTACTAAAACTTAAATCCTTTTTTCGGCTTTATCATAATTTTGACTTTTTATCTCATAATTGACTTCGTATCTCATAATTTTGACTTTTGTCATAATTTGTCATAGTCTCATAATTTCGATTTACCGAAGTATTGTTTCTATTGTGGTGGAAATGGGTTTCACGCTATTGTTGTGTGTGTGTGTGTGTGTGTGTGTGTGTGTGTGTGTGTGTGTGTGTGTGTGTGTGTGTGTGTGTGTGTGTGTGTGAATCTCGGGAAGAAATTCCCAAGTAACATTTCACCCTGAAATTAAAAAGATATTATTTTTCATAACGACAATGGAAACTTTTTTTGAAATTTCATTGTATTGTGTATTTTTGCGCTGCATTGTGGCATTATTTTCATGACTGATAAGCACATTTTCTTTTAATTATTGTGCTGAAATATGACCAGGATATTTCTTGACCGTTTTGATGGGAATCACCCATTTATACTAAGGACCATGGAAATGATGTCCTCATATGCAACCAGGCAATTCAGATGTCTCAAGAACCTCTGTTGTTTATGAATTATGAACTGTGGCTTGCTATTCTTGCATGTGTAACAGTATTTGTGTTGTAGTATTAGTCTAATGTCAAAACTTGTGTATTTGACACCTATTCTACTATTGTTGGTAGCCCACTTCAGACATAATCAAACCCAGTACATGCTGTGTACGCACATGATGTGCCACCACCTTGTCCTACTGATCCAAAGATAACATTCACAACCCATTTTAATTATTTGAATGTGGCCATGGTTTTTGGTTTGCATCACCTTTGGGCTGCCCTGGTGGTGGCTGTTCATTTACGGCTCATGACAGGTGACTGTGTAATGTACTACAATGGTTGTCCAGTACTGTTTGTGTGTTTTCAGTTGAAAGTTAAACTGAGTTCTTTCCGTAGGGTGTCACCTTATGCATTCAAGCACTTGTTAAGACTCAGTAATGACTGATAATTAAGTCATCTTGCTGGACTCAAGATGACTTGTAAGACCTGATGTTTATTTTGATGTGATGAATGAAAAGGAAAGAAAATCCATAAATAAAGTTCATTGAACAATTGTTTGTGTTCTGAGTGGTCGGTTTTGGCAGATTAATTTAAGTGTGGATGTAAGTGTGAAAATCACTAAAACTGTCATGACCATTGCCAAAATCATATTTAACTGCAAAATAAAATTAGATTAATGAAAAATATTGGGGGAGCGTAGACTATTTTTATGACAATTAAGTAGATATTCTCATTACTACAAAGCATTTGTAATGTAGTTGCAGTAACATTTGTTACTGAAATCTTGGAATCCAATTTATTGGATTCTCATGTAAAGGAGGATCAGAACAATACATAGAAAATAACATAAATGCCTGGAATTATAGAAATTAGAAGTAATAAGAAGTAAGTATGGGCACTTGACTTGGAGGGAGTAAAAGATCCCTTCTCCCTAATCCCTCATTTAAGATAAAACAATGTTATAAGCATGAGCGTGCAATTGGTTCAGCGCTTGCCCGTGGTTGTCACAGTTATGTAGTATACAACAGACATTATAATTCAAAACATGTAACATCACAAAAAATAATATAGTTGATCTTCAGCCCTTGCTTTATCTTCCATTCTTAGGTTTTTTAATTTGATCATTACTTCACTAAATGCTCCTTCTGGAGCATTATTATTTGGTATATCAATACAGCATTGTTCCCCAAACATAACACATACTTTTCCTTTTTTCAGTTAACAAATAATATAAAGCTATTCTATTTTGCTCTGTCATTCTGCTTGTTGCGTCCAATTGCTCTCCTAGAACTGATAAGGCCTCATCAGTATTATTAATGAATCTTTGCTGATTGTATTTTATGTAATTTAATTAATCCCTTCTGTAATTGTATTTATTTATTTATTATTATTATTATTTAGAATTAATATTGATTCAAACCCTAATTTAACTTCATCTCTTGTATTAAATTCGTTAGGTATGCCTTTAGGTTGAACAATTGATCTTTTTAGTCAAGCCCAAATCTCTGAAACTCTGTAGTGGATTAACTTTCATACTGTGTCCCAGGGATAACAAGATACAAATTTTAGAAGTCTTCAGTTATTAAATATAAAGGTTTAAGCACGTGCCATCTTTTTATTCATCTGTTTAGACAAGTCTTTAAATAATAAATGTATATCTTATTTTAATTATTTAACTTAATTATTATTTATTTTATAAATTATATTTAATTATTAACTACATCATACTACATTTAGATAGGGCTCATACACTAATTCACTCTTCTCCAGCGCAACATCGGCTGCGTCCAGGAGGGGCACACCTTTTGCTCCACCAGATATAGAGTTTATTTTCTCATACAACCACAAGTCACAAATACACTCAGACAGACACAGATACATACATTTACACAGACTACTCTATACTCTTCCTGAGTAACCTGTCAGTTCTACTCGCTCTTTCACTGATACACTTCCTCAACACAGTAAAAAAGCAGTACCCTACAGGAATTTTTGCCTATCCTTAGGACTTTGCGCGCTTCCTTATAATTTATCTGCTTAATGTTTATTGCTATCCTTCAAAGGCCCACTTAACAATAAACACAGACCATTGCATGCAATGTATATCTGCTTAACGTCCACTGCCCTCCATCAAGGCCCTCTGGGCAGTAAACACAGATTTTTGCATGCACAATCTGCCCTCATTCACTATTATAGTAAAACAGATCAGTGCATGCTATTATTTCTTCTGGAATCAAAACCCTTTTTCTTTTTGTTCTTTAAATTTGGAGGAGCATTTTCGAGTGTCTATACCAGCCCCGGCTGACTTTGGCAAACAACATTTATTATATAAGCAAAAAAAACTGCCTACCTTTATTATTTAGTGGCCACTAAAAATGTTGTTCGTCAAGCCAGCCCAAAGTGGTTCTCCACCCTCTGCTCCTGTCGAGCCCCACGTTGGGCGCCAAAATGTGGTGGCTTCTGCCGCTATTGTGAAGAATCTTTCTCAGAGTCTTGGGATTTTGATGCCAGAAGATATTTTATTATCAGAGACAATAAAACCTGAGAGAACTCTGCAGAGCAATCTCCAGACTCTTTTTGTGTACTCTCTTATATACTGTTCGTTCTCTAGGCTTGTTTAATGGTTTCATTCATATTTGTTATGGGATCATCACGATGCAGTCATGAGGCCTTAATTTTATGTTCTGTGAAAATAAGGGCCCCATTATGTGCCATCATGTGCTTATCATGTACTTCACCATATGTCTGCACATTCCATTCTCATACAGATTTCTATACATGCAGGCAAATACACATGATTATAATAGTAGAATTACTTAATACATAAATGGCCACATTCACACCGATTATACCTGACAATTTACATTTTGATTAATTAAAATCTTCTACAGGGACTATAGAAATTAGGTAATTTTAATCAGTGGTGCTGAACTGGTTTTACTTTTAGGTGATCCAAAGGAGTACCAAACTTGTTAATTGTACAAAACTAAACAAAAATCAAACGTTTACATTTATCAACATAACCATGAAGCTCATAAGCCCAACAATGTGCAAAACTGAGAGCTGTTTCTGTTGTATTTCAATGATTTCATATTGGCAGTCAATTTCTAGTTTTAGTAATTTAGTTCAAAACACATTGTACCATGTTTATCCCTGTTCATAGGTTTCAAGAATGAGGACATGCTGTGCAACTTGTCCATGTTCACATCCACCTAATTTGACTAACTTGTACCAAGCGACAGATGAATCTCTGCCAAAATACCAAAGATTACCATAAAATAAAATATTGTTTGCATTGAGGATTGTTTTCCCTGCTGTCCAAAACCCTGTCAGAACACACCTGTGCCCCATTTCTGGGTCACAACCCAAGAGATAGCCCTGCCCTAAACTCAGCATTGTTTGAGTATTATAGATGTTGCATTCAAGTCCTCCTGGAAAGTTTGTATTTATGAGTTGAGAAGCCATAATTACAACATCAGGTGCATCCAAGTCATTTTGGTCAGAGCAAGATGGCAATGTATCTGCTCTACAAAAGATTCAGCAAAATTGTTTAACTCAATTTCAACAAAATGATTCAACAAGTGTTTTTGCTTTTTTATGAAGGTATTGTGAATTCAATCATCATATATCACAGTTGTACAATACTATCAATTTTTAAACATGCAACTATAATAACAATTTCAACAAATCTACCATCTATACAGACATTACATCTATTCCGTCCCCCACATTTTCTCACTAGATATGTTTCCATCCACATATTTCTTATGCAATTTTGTGAAATTGCATAGAAATACATTAGAATCACCAAGATACGCATAAATTCTAAAAAAAGGGCATTAAAAAACGTATGCACTCAATTGAGGAGTATAATTATTTGTTTATCTGATATAGACTTGTGCCGGTATTCATATCACGGTAATGAATATGCACGATATTGTTATCGTGGGCACTTCTAAATACCGTGAATAATTATATATTACAAATTATTCAGAATTTTGAATGCATTTTAAGAATACTTTTCCCATCAACTGGTCAAAATGCACAACACTGCTGTATGCTGCATGAAAGATGCGTGCGCACTCTGACGTAAACAAGCGCGGACGAGAAGCACATGGCGGAACATGTGAGAGACGCTCTGGATGAAAGCGCACTTTCACTCTCTGACAGCAGATGACGCTAAACTGCAGAAATAATAATAATAATAATAATTCATTTAAATGCAGCCGTTACCCCGGAAACCCTGTAAACAAAGCAGC